CGTCAGGTTTATTTGTGCCATTACGCCTTCTTCTATTGGTCCCGATTGTTCGACACGAGTTGACACTCGACGTGCCCCCAGATCCAATCCGGCCAGTGTGTGCCTCGCTGCTTAAGGTCATCTTGACTTTCGCGCCCTCTGAATGACGCCTTGCGGATATTGGGTTTTTATGGGTTTTTTGTTTTTTTGAATGGCAGCTTTTGTGCTGTTGTCAAGAGTTATTGTGGGCGCTGATATGGATTTTACGTCTTATTTCTTGAGAGGGGGGGGGGGGGATTGTTCTATGTACTTGGTTTCGTGTGTGGAAAAGGCGGGCGGGGAAGGGGGGTGTCGTTCTTGTAGATGGTACCTGTTTTCGATCTCTCCTATTTCCTTATTACTTAAAATTTTCTCAGCATTTAATATCTAGCACTGCTTTTACTTTAAGCAAAGGAATACGGGAGACTTGTTTGACGGGGAAGAAGGTAGAGGTTGGGCGTTTTGCCGGGGTATTCTTCTCTTTTCAATGTGTTGTTTATCATTGTCGGTGTCTGGCGAAATATTCACCATTATCGTTCCCGGGGACTTTCCGCACAATATGTCTCAGCCTGCTTCATTTAACATGTTAATGCTGTTGATGCTCTCCCCTCTCTCACTCACAAACACTCAACACACCCACCCACCACACATACACATTCTCTCTCTGTCTGTCTGTCTGTCTGTCTGTCTCTCTCTCTCTCTCTCTCTCTCTCTCTCTCTCTCTCTCTCATTGTATTAATATGCTAATTATGTTTATTTCGTGCACTTCTACTGGGTAAGTGTACGCGGAAATGGTCACATGCACATTCGAGCTCTCCTTCCTGCTTCCACTGTCCCTTCTTTGTTTCTTTTTTTTCTTCTCTGGGCACAATTCGTGGGCAAGCTGTTAAAAATGTCCGTAGCCTAGAAAACAAAACTTTTTTAATAGAGAGAGAAAATTGTTTTATTATTTTAACGAGAGCTTTGGTGTGTTTTGCTCCTTCTTTCATATCAAACATTTATCATCCTTCTCTCTCCTCTTTCTTTTCTTTTTACTTTATTTTACTCTATATTCTCAAGTAACCATTTTAATCTCCAACACTTATATTCATCATGGCCTATGTGTGTTGCAAGTGTAAATAAAACTCTTATATATATGGAAACTGAAAATCTCTCCATACTCACCATCTCTTCTCCATTTTCTTCTACCCCTCTTTCCTTCTTCATCGCACGTACTTATTAGATTTTCTGGTTGGTTCTTGTGCGTGGCTGTTGTGGTCACGCTGACTTGCTATTTGAAACAAGACTTTGCAGGAACCTGGTGAAATGATTACTCAGACTGACTTATCTTATTTAAAGTTAAGCTTCCCCTCTGCCTTTCTCACTATTGCAGTATTTTTCCTATTGTAAGGCATTGGCTCTTATACTTTCTTCCCATTGAAGACAGTTTGTAAAATGCTTAACAGTCGTACCTGTTACTCGTACTTTGTGCCTCTTTAGTTCAATCACTTTATTCTCTATTATGACGAACTGAAGAATGAAGGAGGAAAGAGAGTTGACTTTTTATTAGATATAATACTAAGACAGAAGATCGCAACCAGTGGAAGACAGGCGAAATTAAGACTAGTATCAAGATAAAAGACAAACGCTGGATGGCGAATGCTGTGTATCAATCCAGCTCTTGCTCTCATTGCAACCAACATTTTCTTTCTCGCTTTGGCATACTTACAGTAGACTAAACAACGACAGCACGGACACTATTCTAGTCCTGTGTAACGGAACAGTGCCTGCTTCTACACAGTGACATGGTGACATGATGAAAAGAGAGATCTGGACGTTGTATCTCCTGATCTTCTTTCCTTTCTTGACCTG